CGAGAGCATGATGAACATGCATTGAATAATAGCTCAGTGAAGAACATTGCAATAAATTTAAAACAGATGGAAATGTGCCAACTTGTTCTTTGAAAGTTGTCTGTGTATTTACCGAGCTGAAAGCCTTGAGATCTTTAGAGCCTTTTTCCTTCTGCCAATTGACTGTATCAGCGAACAGATATCCAGCGGTCGTTTTCTTCCTGCAAAATTAATGCACAAAATGTACAAAAATCAGTTTTATAGAAATGCATTAAAAATAATGCAAACCACCCTCCCCCTGCTCTATCTGACACCCTAAAACAAATATACCGATAATAAAATACACCTGTGCAAAAAAAAAATGAAAAAAATTTGGGTTTATGGTTTAGACTATTATATTGTATTCTATTTGCATTGCTTTGTTATCTTCAAGCTCTGGCTTCTACAAGTCTTAGGTATGGGCGTAAAACGATTGAGCGTAGAAACCTATGCTCACAAAAAGGGCGCGTCCCTTACTTGGGGTGGGCGGGTAGGAAACACATCCATACTTACAAATTCTATAGATGGGTACACCTAATCTCTTCACCATTCACCTTGTGCACGATCCGTGCTTCTTCTGCAGACAATCATTTGTCAGGTTCTTGAAGGGATCACTGCAAACTTGAAAGTTGCTGAGAAGCTCCTCCAACTCTTCGCTGTCTTCATTTCCCCTGGCCTCTGCAAACTTCCTAGTTTTATAACCAAGGAAAGAAACTACATGTATGTCTCTGATGACATCACTTGTGTGGTTGACAACTGTGTCAACCATTGATTGAACAACACTACTTGAATCTAGAAGTTGTGAAACAAAGGACAGCACATAAGGACAGATTCAAGTTCTGTCTCATCAAAAGTGTCTCACAACTCAATCCCTCCTTCAAGTACTTAAAGTTGATCTTCTTAGTCATCGTCCCTGCTATTACCATTTTCAATGTGCAGGAGGCAAATTGTGGCCGGGGTATTCCTGATGGGGGGAATGATTTCTTTCAAGATTCGCACATGGGGGAATGATCGAAAGCATCCATCTTGACTGCAAGTATTCTGTGTGGTGAACAGTCCTCCATTGACAATTCCATGTGCATGTATATTTCGCAAATGCCACACTAAATTGTCTTGATTGCCTGCAATCAGGTTTCCACACTTGTCACACACGTATCCCATTTCGGAAGCAGGTCATAAAAAATTAAACGGCACTTTACTGTTAATAAACTATGCAGACTGTACATGTACGTACCTCGGGGGCTTTTTTTGAAGCCTTTAACTCCCCTAAAAATCTCATTCTCGGCCCAACCTGGGGAATCAACTCTTTCAGTGATTCAGCACACGTGTCAAGAAGGCAGAAGCTTTCCTTATCCACTGCATTTTCTATGGAAAATTAGAGGGAAACATTGGATATCAATGTAAAACAATGCAATGCCTATTATTGATGGTCTGAGGCCTGTGTGAAATGCTCGATTAATTGCATGCACATTAGAAATGGCATTTTAACATAGCCAGTTGACTTTGTAAATTTACACACATGCAAAATATAAATATGCATCCCAAGTTTCACCCACCTACCTCGAGTGTTGATGTCACTTTCTTTCATGAGCTTCTGAAGCTGTACAACATCATGCTTGCAAAGCACATTGACAAACATTGTTTGCTGCTGCAGGAACTCCTGATTCCTCGAGTTGCCACGTTATATCGATGACGATTCTGAGGTAAACAACAGGTCTACCTTTACTGTTCATTCTCATGTACTGCAGACGATACAACCTGCACTTTATTCCCTCTTCTTTCCACTCTTCCTTTCTACCATCAGACAGCAGTGATGCAGCTTCTCCTCCCTCACACTTTAGACAAGTTGTTTGCTTCAAAAACAGGGAGGCCTATGTTACAAGGTGATTTTGACTTCCCTTTTTCTTGGACTTTGCCTGACAGTTTTTTTAAAAATAAAGTCAGTGTCCCTAACCAAACTGGAAAATTTCTATTGTTTTAGCAACATATAAGACTACCAGCAAAATTGCCTCTAGGGAATTGGCCACAGCATTGGATTGAACTTACTTTTTTTCAGTCAGATATTTCTGCAAAAGACAGCATAAACTGAACTGCACCTCTTTCGTGTGCGTAATTGTGGTCTTACATGTAAACGGGAGGGATCCTTTCTCTGGTTGCATTTTTTTTCTTGGGCTCCATCTCTACCTATGTAAATAAGATAAAAACATAATATATACCGTAGTGACTGCTTATGAAATTACTCTTGTCTGTCAACAATTTTGTTCATCCATATTCAGAGCTTTTTAGAGCCATAAGTATACATGTACATAAATGTATACATGTACCGGTATTTAATCTATGTATTTCATATATTGTCAAGCGAGATCTCCAAAGGAAAGCAACAATACCTACCAGTTTGATTGTGCAAACTCTTGCAGGATCCAGTGCCTCCTTATCCATATAAGATGCCAAATGGGCATTGGACTTTTTGCCAGTCAGGCTACGCCCCAGAACTTCTTCCAGTAAACAAGGTGGCGTACAGATTCTTTGCCATCTATTTGGCCCTGTTGCCAGCCTGGGTAGTAGCCAGGAGAGCACCTTTTTCAGCACAATGCTATTCCCGATGTCCACCTGGATATAGAAAACACTCGGAAGGTAATATTTCAAACGGTTCATTATTCCAATGTTCTTTGAAATTTTTGTTGCTACTTCATCAATATGATTTTTCCAAGTGAGATTTTCATCAATAGTTACACCCAGGAATTTAGTTATTTTAACCTGATTAAGCCTTGAGTTATTCAGAATCAGAGGAACAGATTGTGTGTACTTAAACTGATTGGCACAAAAAATCATATAATCTGACTTGACGACATTAATACATAATTTATTTGCAAGAAGCCATGAACTGATTTTTTTAAGTTCCACATTTAGGTTACTAATTGCTTCATCTACATTATCGTAAGTATACAACAAACTTGTATCATCTGCAAATAAACAAAATGTTACAGTGTCTGAAGTATTACATATATCATTAATATAAAGAAGAAATAGTAAAGGACCCAATACGGAACCCTGAGGTACCCCGCACGTAATGAATCGGCTGGTTGAAGTTATAGAGTGAAATGACACATACTGCTTGCTGTTACACAAAATGTTACAAAATTCTTGACTACAGCCATCTTCTCGTCATTGCTCCATGGTGTTTTGGTTATCTACCTGGTTCTCCTTTTCCCCTCCTCGTTGTGTGCGTTGTGTTTACTGCTCGTACTACTAGCTTTCTTTGAGGCCTTCCCACCTACATATAAGGAGATGCATGGAAACATTTTCACCTGATGCTTGAACTGCTTTAATTTTTAGCAAGCTGAAAAACACTGGAAGCCAAATACATGGAATGCAATGGATTGTCCAATTAGCAATAATTATCTTAATAGTGGAGCTGCAGAGTGAAAACTTGTGCATATTGTGTTAACTAAAAGCATGATGTGTGGCGTGCGGGCTCAGAATAGGCGAGAGAACATTCAGATTTGGACCCGTATTGGATCTTGCCAATTATTTGGGGTGGGACATGATTAAAAAAAAAAAAGGACGGACAAAATGCCAACTCAAAACTGTCTTTAAAAATATTTTTTCCTATTCTAAATAACAATAAACTTAGAAATAAAGTAAAACTTGTTCACCTTTTAATGGCACTGCTTTTTCCACCATTTTGTGGCTGTGGCATTTATTTCTAAAGGGGCAGTTTATTGGTCATTCAATTTCATTAAGGCACAAACTGCATGTACATTGAAAAAAAAACCTGTACATGTTGTATACACTTTGAAAAGGCAATTTTCAGACTAAGGTCATTTTTATTTACCCCTTTGTAGGAATAAAGCCAACTATTATTGTAGGGTTGAAAATCAGAAACGTTGCAGCAGGCAGTTAACTGAAAAATGGTTCGAGGTTTTCTGAGTTGAACTTCGTCCGCCCTCTTTTTTTCAAAATCAGGCAAACACCCCTGGAATAGGCAAGATCCTGTAATTTCTGGACAAGACTAAGCCCTCGTGCCTAATGTCATGCTTTCACCACAAAATGCACGATTTGGCAAAAAAAGACCATTAATTAGCAGCTCCACTACACAAGTAAAAACCATTATCCAGGCTTTGACTACTGCCATACCATAGCCAACAATGGTTTTTACTATGCAAGGTGATGACCCTTGTCTTTGACCTATGTGTTAATTCCTAGTACTGAAAAACACACGGAAATAACATGCACATTGTGTGAAAAGCATCAAGACTTTATGTGAATGTCATTTTTTGTGTGTTTTTCAGTGCCACACATTTTTATTAACCCATAGGTCAAGACAAGGGTCAAGATGGAGATCACTTTGTGTAGTAAAACTGGCAAGATTGTTACCAAGCTGGTGTCTCCAAGTGATACATTTTAAACTTACCTCCGGTTGGTACTTCTCCCTGGTGGTGTGAATTCTTCTTCTGGCCACTGCTGCCCTTCTTCTTTGACCCCACATGCACCTCATCCTCATGATCGACATCCTCATGTAGTGGTTCATCCATTGGAGCTTCTGAAAAGCAAATAAGGATCATGCATTTCTCAACAAATAGTACCTGACAATTGACATCCTGTAGATAATGTACAAAGCTTCATTTCCAGCAGGCATAAAACATTAGACTACTATACATGGTAATGGAAAAAAACATGTTCTAACTTCAGAGGAAAAAAAGATTACAGAGGAGACCATTTCAGAGTTAATTTACCCAAACATGTTCTAAAAGGCTTGATAGACTGAAGAAAACAAATACCTTCTTCTTCCTCTACACGGATCTCATCAAGACTGCTTCCAGCCAGGCTCGACAGGTTTCCCTTTTCCATCTGAAGTAGCACCTTCAAAACCTTTGCGACCTGTAGTGTTTGCTCCGGGAGGCGATAAAACTCCCTATGAACCCTGATATCATGACCCATGAAATTAGCCAGTATGTCCTGCTCATGATCCTTCAAGTTCATTACTTGTGCAACAGTGCAGATGTGCTTACGTAAACGAGTTGACCTAAGGTACTCAGGCTTGCTAGCTCCACATGTTTACGAAGAACATTAGAACCTTTGATATGGCCTAGGGAACTCTGGACTGGAAACATGAATTTATTTCCATTCATTACACCAGCCTGTTCTCTTTTGCACTTGAGAAGGTCCATACTTTGTTTCAAGTCCTCTGTCAGGAGTACTGGTACAGTCCTTCCTCTCTTCCCGACGATCTCCATGCGCCAGACAATTTTGCACAACTCCTTCTCCCACCCTGACAAGCCTTCCATCATGATGCCTTCTTCACCTTTCTTACACTTATCAAAGTCGGACAACTTCATTTTGGACACCTCACCAGATCTCTTCCTGTTGAACACAAAAACTGAAGTCAAAGTCACTTCAGCCAACTGTCTGTAGACATCTTTTACATGTGCTACATCTACCGGGTTGCACAGCTTTTTCTTCTCCTGTTCTACCTGTCCTTTCAGGTATGATGTAAGCTTGACAACATCACGTGTCACAGATATTTTGGATTGTTTCTCTTGTTTTCAGTCAATGTCCTTAGTGCATGAGTTGAAACCATGTCTTCCCAGTTAAGGTCACACAGCTTAATAAATGCTGCAGCTCTTTTTTCAAGGGCCTCATCCTCATTGCTGATGGCTTCTCCCAGGAGAATTCCAGCAGCTTTTTTCAGTGTGTGCCCAATTTTTAGGGCCAGGCTTGGGGTGCGGAAGAGATGACTGTTCTCATCAAATCCTGCCGTTTTTCTTGTTGCAGATATTACATCATGAAACTTCCGAGGGTGGATAAGATCTTTCAGTGATGCATTCTTTTCATGTGTTTTTTCTCTGTACGTCAGAACCATTCTACCAACTTCACGAAGTTTCCCCCTAACATTGGAAAATTGTTCTTCATCATGACCCAACTTGAAGGTAAGTTTTTCGGCCAACTTTCTTACGAGTGGGTCTCCCTTTTTGCAACAGGAAACCCCTTCTTCATCTTCCCTGAGGCCTGCATACATTTTCTGCACCTTTTCACTCCTATCAGACGTAGGGAGCATACATCTGCCTAATCTGACAAAATCTCGCCTCTTCTTCTTTCTTGGCGGTTGATCCTCATTCTCATCATTCTCCTGATCTTCCCTTACCTTACAGCCATGTTTCCAGAGGTCCCCTTTGGCAAAGTAACCTTTGCAATCACTGCAGGGCAAGTAGTGTCTGTAGTCTGCTTCAAAGTTAGGCCTGTAAACTGGTATGATTGTACCTTTATTCATAAGGAGTACTTCAGCATTGTGATGGTAATTGCCCAGATTTCTTATTCTGGTTAGCCTTTTTTCCTTTAACTTCAGATCTGTGGTGGCTATCCACTGAATGACTTGTGGCTCCTGTTTATGTGCTTTCACTTCCCTAAGATGTCGCGGTAGTTTCATCTGATATGTATGGCAAAAGGGGCAGTATGCACCTTTATCCCACTTCCGTTTGCCTTTGTTATTGTCGGTACGCATAACCTTTATGGAAGTAGTATCAGTGCTATCAGCAGTTTGAGGACCAACTGAGGATGAATCATCAACAGTTTCACTGGTCGACTCTGCACTGTTGTTATTGGCCAACACTCTCCTTTGAGGCAAGGGTATAACACAGAACTCCTCCGACAAAGAATCAGACTCAAGTACAAAGCTTTCATCCGAATCAGAAGCAGTATCTACTGATTCACTTTCATAATTAGGATCATTATCATCAAATTGTGTCGATGTGACCATGCTTTCAACGTCACTTAATGTAGCTTCAACACTGGCAGCTGCTTCCCTATCAATACCTGACTGACCACAACTGGTAACAGCTTCATTTATTGAAATATGACCTGCTGCTTGACTACTGTCGACAACTACTTCACTGCTATGAAAAGCTGACTGACCACAACTAGCAACTTCACTGACTGCAGTCTCATGAACTGAGTGGCCACAACTTCCAACAACTTCACTGACTGGATGATCACATATTGCTGCAACTGCACTGACTGGTTCATCACAACTTGCTGCAACATCAATGATTTGTTGGCTACTTGTGACAACTACTTCACTCGTATGAAAAGCTGACTGACCACAGCCGGCAACTTCACTGACTGCAGTATCAAGAACCAAGTGACCACAACTTCCAACAACTTCACTGACTGATTGATCACATCTTGCTGCAACCTTTTGATCACAACTTGCTGCAACTTCTTTGACTGGTTGATCACAACCTGCTGCAACTTCACTGACAGGTTGATCACAACCTGCTGCAACTTCACTGACTGGTTCACAACTTGCTGCAACTTCACTGACAAGTTGATCACAACTTCCTGCAACTTCACTGACTGGTTCATCACACCTTGCTGCAACTTCACTGACTGGTTCACAACTTGCTGCAACTTCTTTGACTGGTTGATCACAACCTGCTGCAACTTCACTGACTGGTTGATCACAACCTGCTGCAACTTCACTGACTGGTTCACAACTTGCTGCAACTTCACTGACTGGTTCATCACAACTTGCTGCAACATCAATGATTTGTTGGCTACTTGTGACAACTACTTCACTCGTATGAAAAGCTGACTGACCACAACTAGCAACTTCACTGACTGCAGTCTCATGAACTGAGTGGCCACAACTTCCAACAACTTCACTGACTGGATGATCACATATTGCTGCAACTGCACTGACTGGTTCATCACAACTTGCTGCAACATCAATGATTTGTTGGCTACTTGTGACAACTACTTCACTCGTATGAAAAGCTGACTGACCACAGCCGGCAACTTCACTGACTGCAGTATCAAGAACCAAGTGACCACAACTTCCAACAACTTCACTGACTGATTGATCACATCTTGCTGCAACCTTTTGATCACAACTTGCTGCAACTTCTTTGACTGGTTGATCACAACCTGCTGCAACTTCACTGACAGGTTGATCACAACCTGCTGCAACTTCACTGACTGGTTCACAACTTGCTGCAACTTCACTGACAAGTTGATCACAACTTCCTGCAACTTCACTGACTGGTTCATCACAACTTGCTGCAACTTCACTGACTGGTTCACAACTTGCTGCAACTTCTTTGACTGGTTGATCACAACCTGCTGCAACTTCACTGACTGGTTGATCACAACTTCCTGCAACTTCACTGACTGGTTCATCACAACTTGCTGCAACTTCACTGACTGGTTCACAACTTGCTGCAACTTCTTTGACTGGTTGATCACAACCTGCTGCAACTTCACTGACAGGTTGATCACAACCTGCTGCAACTTCACTGACTGGTTCACAACTTGCTGCAACTTCACTGACAAGTTGATCACAACTTCCTGCAACTTCACTGACTGGTTCATCACAACTTGCTGCAACTTCACTGACTGGTTCACAACTTGCTGCAACTTCTTTGACTGGTTGATCACAACCTGCTGCTACTTCACTGACAGGTTGATCACAACCTGCTGCAACTTCACTGACTGGTTCACAACTTGCTGCAACTTTACTGACAAGTTGATCACAACTTCCTGCAACTTCACTGACTGGTTCATCACAACTTGCTGCAACTTCACTGACTGGTTCACAACTTGCTGCAACTTCTTTGACTGGTTGATCACAACCTGCTGCAACTTTACTGACTGGTTGATCACAACCTGCTGCAACTTCACTGACTGGTTCACAACTTGCTGCAACTTTACTGACAAGTTGATCACAACTTCCTGCAACTTCACTGACTGGTTCATCACAACTTGCTGCAACTTTATCAGTGACTGGTTCATCACAACTTGCTGCAACTTCACTGACTGGTTCACAACTTGCTGCAACTTCACTGACTGGTTGATCACGACTTGATGCAACTTCACTGACTGGTTGATCACGACTTGATGCAACTTCACTGACTGGTTCATCACGACTTGATGCAACTTCACTGACTGGTTCATCACGACTTGATGCAACTTCACTGACTGGTTGATCATGACTTGATGCAACTTCACTGACTGGTTGACTACAACTTGCAGCTTCACTGTCTGCAGTCCAAATGGCTGGCTGACCTCCACTGATTTCAGTGGAACAACTGACCTTAGCTTGTTCTTTGGTGGTGGCTTGAGACACACTTGGTTGCTTCTGTTGTGAGGCTGTTCTCCACCAAAGTCCCTTCACTTGATAATCGTACCTTAATTCCTCTCCCTGTTTTATGTCTCTCAGGGCAAACAAGCAAAGATGAGCTGTTGGACCAACCTCTATTTTTGTAATTTTTACATTGCATGCCTTGTGACGTTGCAGCGCATCATTAACAAGACGGGCAAGACTGGAGTTTGTAGTTGCATCAATACTATAAAGAGAAACAACATCTGATTAGATGGGACATGCAAACATGATAGATCTGTGGTTTTGTACACGCTTATACTTTTGACCCAGTTGTGTTCATTCTTACGATGTAGATGATAAGAATTCACCTGTGATGGGGGACTGTCCTCAGTTTGTAACATACATACGGGTCTGAAAAGTTACCGATATAGAGATATCTGCAGTTCAGGTGATTCCAATACAATAATATGGCAGAGGTTTTTCATCAATTAAACCATGTTTCCCTACCCAAATATTTCATAAAGCATGTCACTCCTAAACCAGGAAATGAGTGTTCGAAAATTGGAAAAGGGATAATTTCCTCGAAAATACCATTTTGTGTGAGTTTATCTTGGACCAAGAGTATAAAAGTAATACAAGATTTGCAATGAAAAGGGGAGCAATACCCATTTAAGTTGGTACATAATGACCCCGTTTGTCTTTGCACCACACCAAAAAACTTAGTCTGAAGCACGAGTGGTACAGGTGTTTCCATAAAATCATCACGATCATGATTTTTTTAATGCTGTACAGTTATAAATTGTTGGTTTATTTTTTAACTGTTTTTTGTGTCTTTTGCATTTGTTTTTTACTATTTTTTACAGCTGCCCTCAATGCGTAACAGGTTTAACCTGCACGTTTCTCGATCATTTACATATGGCTCTTTATTTGCTCCAGTGCCCCTTCTTGTGGGACATGTACACCTCAAAATGAAAATTGTTAATTTGATTTAAGTTTGCACTTTTCTGGTACTGTAACATACTGGGTTTAAAATGATACTACAGGGAACATAGTTTGATGAAGGAGTTTATGAAACCGAAGCATTTTTTATGTACTTGCTGCTAGTCACGTAACAGGACAGACATATTATTTTCTACAGTATTGCACAACTGTCATGCCTGAACTTGTCATTATTTATAATCTAAAACTGAACAGTTTTGTGAGTAATAACTTATTTTATCAACTTAAATTAAAAATAAATGGAAATTCATAACTGACCATGCTTTATATATCAATCATTTGATATTGCATATATCAAAAAGTACACATTGCTGATCCAAATACAATGTTTTCAGAATATCCAAGTATAAAGTATGATATTCACTGCAACAGTCTTTGTCACACATTGATAAGGCTTAAAACACAAAATGTAAATGATTTGACTGATGTTTAATAAACACAGAGCAAAAAATGGGGATGGTAACATGTTACTGCTATTCACATAACAGGACAGACTGTCACGTAACAGGACAGACTGTCACGTAACAGGACAGACTTTCTTGCATGCAGAATTATCATGCTGTAATATTTCTTTAACTTGAAGATTTTGTGAACATTATATAACTACAATTAAAGAATGTGAGACATACTCAATAATAATGGGTTTATTTTACACCTTATAATTAATCAACAATAAAGCAATTTGAAATAAATATTTTGCATCTTGCGGTATATTTTTAATGCATTTATTTTCTTAATACAATAATGGTCTTCTGGAACGCCCACAAAAATGGGGCCACTTGTTTGATTCCACCAATAACATCAATATTGCATATGAGCTATTCATCTTGCATTCCAGAGGACTGTTATTTTTAAAAAGTTAACAGTTTAGTCCACCCCATGAGTATATTATGGCGGCCTAATGCATTTGACGTCAGTGGTAGGATCGGGCAAGTGGCCTATTTTAGAGGGCGTTCCAAAAGAAAAAATCCATTAAGAATATACATGTACCTGCAGACACAAAATGTTTATTTCTAATTGTTTTATTGTTTAATAATTATAAGGTATAAAATAAAATCATTATTATTGAGTACGTTTCACATTGTAAGCGTGTGATTTTTTTTTGATACTGTGATGCAGTGTTAATTAATTATGATTAAGTGGAAATAAATGTAAAATAATGTGATCAGTCCCAGTTAAAATCAGGAACGATCCACTCCCAACAGCTAGATCCTTGCGGGAGCAGAGAGATGGATTGGACGATCATGGAAATGTGCACTGTTTGGACGTCATCAATCTCTTGGAATGTGAAGCGGCCCCGGTGCCTTCTATGTGGTTGAAGAAACTTCACAGTTACATGCTGGTGGTCTACATGGACTTCAACAATTATCCCTAGGTTTTTAGTAAATGAAAAGAAAAAGAAAAAGCAAGCTACAGGTTTTAAATAGTTTTAAAAAAGTTGCATGAACAGTTCATTTTCTCAAACCACCATTGATATTCCCATACTTGACCTTTTGAACCAGAACGTGCCCCCCCCCCTTGCAAATTTGACCTTAGTTACACCGCTAAGTATGGAGCCAAAGATTTCCAGCTATATCCAGAGAAGGTTGGTTGTATTGGCAAATCATAAATAAAAATTGATTCCAACACATTTTTTCCCAGCTATTTCTGGGTGATGACTTTGAAAATAGGTAAAACTCATTGAAAGTTTCCATAGCAGCCAACTAATATGGAAATGGATGATCATTGGCTGTAATACATGTACAACATAGTAAGGTTTTACCTGGATAACAACGGTCAGGGTATCGAACAACAACACAGGAGTTGACAGTCCATAGATGGGGATCTGCTTGTGATGTCAACAGGGGAGGCGTCGTGGTAGGCATTGTGGTGCGCTGTTTGCAAGGAGGCATCTGCTGTTCCAAATGGGAGCTGGATGATGGAGATGAAATAGCTGGCTGGGAAGATGACAATGGTAAGTGTGGCAATGGAGGTTCAGGTAAGTATGCTGATGCAGTGGGCTGATGAGGTGATGCAGTTGGCTGATGAGGTGTTGCAGTGGGCTTAGGAGGTGATGCAGTGGGCTGATTTGGTACTGGCTGAGAATGGGCGGTCGAGGGTTGAGCTTTCATGCAGATGGTTTTCCAATTGTTGACATACGACTTGTTTGAACAAAAGGCAACATTTGTGGTCCTACATGCATAGCAGAAGCACGATAGGCGCCTTGTCTTAATAGTGCCTATCTTAACACCCAACACTGAGTGTATCTTCCGTGTTCCTGGTACTGTTTTGAAGTTGCGCTCAGGCCTTGAACGAGTGATTGAGGCCTTACCGACCCAAAGTATTTTTTGACGTTTGTGCATGCATTTCCCATCCTGATCAACTGCAGGTTTCTCCAGTGCTTTCTCGCAGAAACTTGCAAACTCCCTTGCATGCCTGATAAGAACAGTTTCATTTTTAACTGCTCTCGTAGCAGCAACCTTCACTACCCCACCTTCTCCATCACACCTGTTCTTTCCATGACGGGACCCATAATAGACTCTTTCAACTGAGAAGCCAAAATCTTCATTACTGAAGCTTACATCGGCGAATGGTGTCTTTGATTTATATTGAGCTCCACATCCATCACTAACTATATAGGCATGGTTGATGATAAGCCCTCTGGTGACTTGAACATGTTGAAAAATTGCTTTGAGAAAAGCATGTACAGCATGACAGTCATGGTTCAAGTCATCACTAACAATGTCTATGGCTTCTTCTACTAACTCACCATCTGCAGGGCAGTGATAATAAGCAATGCCGGGATGAACTGTCACCGAGTCCTTCGGCCAGTGTGCCCCCTGTACTTCTTGTTGTGAGAAGCACTTATAGTTTTCTGCGAAGTCAACTATCACTGCCAAGGTATTTGGTTGAATGTTTTTGGTCAGTTCACCAACTTGCAAGACTTGCCATTTAGCTTCGAACAGGTGTTTGGAAAGAAATCCGATTTCGTCAATGAACTCTGCAAATAACTCAGATGAGGGTCCACTCTCGGTTACCAGCTCACGTCTACAAACTTCGTCACCTGTTTTAGGGTTTTGCCGCTTTACAAGCTTCCAGACTTTCCATGAAACTTCATCATCTGCTTCAATCTGTCTTAAAACACCTGCAAGTGTATCTGTCCCACAACTCTTGCACCGTCTGTCCACACATTCAAGTTTGTGAAACTTTGCGCCCTCCTCCTTTCCACAGAGTGTTTGCTCGATGACTTCTAGTTCATTTTTGAACTTCAACTCTTTTTGACCCTTTTTGTCTGCCAGCTTAGTTACAGCCTGCAGCTTTAGTTTAGCGTTTTCACAGTATTCACAGAGACACTGGAACAGTTTTTTTGTTTCTGTGGAAGGACGTTTTTAGGTCTCAGTTTACAAAATGTAGAGAAAGACGATGACGTCTCAGGGTTTTCTTATGACATCTCAGGGTTTTCTTCCTTCCAAACACTGTATGCTGATGACATTAATGTGCGCATGACATACTTTTCCTGGAGGTCTTTCAAGCACTTCTTGTTTGGAACACAAGCCGACACCTCTTTGTAGAAGTCTTGTATAGACTGAACAATGTTAACTGGCATACAATCTTTTCGCTTTTTGGTCTTTGTCATGCATCCTTTGCGAAGATATTTTTTTGCACTCCTGTGGCTCTGCACATGAATTGTTGAAGCCCATACTTCTTTTTGACGCCTTGAGCCAGTGATCTCACAAGTACTTTTCTCTCCATTCGCTTCTTCTTTGATTTTCCTTTTAGTCCTTCATGGGCATCTTTTATGACGTCCAGTACTTCATTTAGTCTTTTCTTTGCTGTTGGTGACTCAATACCCTCACTGTGCAGAACCTTTTTCTTTTTAGGTGTAGCACTTTTAACCAACTGAGATACAATTTTGCCATATCGATGGGGTGACTTTGGTAGGTTTTGTTTGGCTCTATAGACTGCCTTTCGCAGAGCTTCACTTGACATTGGTGAAGTGGTACTCGAGCTTGGTGCATTCTTTTTCTCCGTACTCCTTTTGGCTTCTCTTTGTTTCCGTTTGGAGGCAGAATCTTTCTCTCTCCTCCTTCTCTTTTTTTGTGAGGAAAGAGACCTGCGTTGTGCGGGCAGTTGCATCACGTCTCCGACGAGAAAACATAATGATTTTTATGTATCTCGACGACTGGCTGATAGTGGGAAAATCAGAAGGCCAGACTGCTCAGAATTTGAGGGATACTTATACGTTGACAACGAGGCTAGGCTTCATCATCAACGAAAAGAAGTCCCACCTAATCCCATCCTAGGAAATCACTTTCCTGGGAGCAGAGATCGATCTACGCAGGGGCATATCCATTCAAGTCGCTCCAGCCCGAGCTTGGCTGAAACTTCTAGGGTTCATGGCCAGCTTAGTGGACCTGGTTCCATGGTGCAGACTGAGGATGCGTCCTTTGCAAATGCATCTTCTGGCACATTACAGACCAAAGACAGATCCAATCTCTCTATTGGTCTCGATCAACGATGTCATTCGGCCACACCTTCGGTGGTGGATAATGGAACAGAACATTCGGTGCGGACGGAGCTTCCCCACAGGGGATCCTCACGTCATAATCTCCACCGACGCCTCCAATGAGGGCTGGGGAGCCTCCCTTCCCCCTCGACAAGCTGCAGGCACTTGGGACGACAACACTCGGTCCCTACATATCAATGTTCTAGAACTCCAGGCTGTAGTCAATGCCCTACACCACTTTCAAGCAGACGTAGTGGGTCGGTCTGTTCTAATCAAGACCGACAACACGACAGTGGTAGCATATATCAACAAACAGGGTGGTACAATATCACCCCAGCTGTGCTACTGGACTTGGGAAATGTTTCAGTGGCTAATCAGACACAAAGTCGATCTACGTGCCATTCACATTCCTAGTGCGGAAAACGACATAGCGGACTCTTTCTCCAGGGGCAAAGTAGTTCCCACGGAGTGGTCATTGAACAGGAGGATCGTACGTCAGATCTTCTCAATCCTAGGTCGTCCACACATAGACCTGTTCGCCTCAGCAGTCAACACTCAGCTCCCGGTGTTCTGCTCAAGAGCCCATCATCCTCATGCATGGGCCTCGGACGCAATAGACTGGACAAACATGTTCGCTTACGCCTTCCCCCCAATCTCAATCCTTACAAAGGTCATCGGGAAACTGGAGAGAGACAGGTGCAAGATGCTGCTGATCGCCCCCTTTTGGCCGCGTCAGCCCTGGTTTCCGCGACTGGTGAGGCTCCTAGTGGGCTCCCCTCTAATCCTCCCAGATCGTCACGACCTACTCGTTCAACCTCAGTCCCGGTTCCGACACCCATCTCCGGGAGATCTCCACTTAACGTGCTGGCCACTGTCAAGCGTGCCTACCGAGCAGCAGGTCTTTCTGAAGACGCTGCAGCTCTGGCCGCAAAGGGACGTCGTCTCTCAACACGACAAATCTATGACAGTCGATTACGACATTATAGTAGGTGGTGCGCAGAACAGGCTGTGGATCTGCTCTGTGCTTCTTTAAGTCATTGTTCAGAGCCAATTTGTCAGTTGGAACGATACGAAATTATCGATCAGCCATAGCAGCAGTTCACAGAGGCTTCGCTGATGGCTCATCTATCTCCTCTAATGTTGCAATCACTAACCTACTCCGGGGAATGTTCAACGAGAGACCTACAATCCGGAAACTGGTCCCATCCTGGGATCTAGGTCAGGTCCTGAACATTTTGGCCAAGGCTCCATACGAGCCCTTGGGCCAAGCACCCCTCATTCATGTATCTATAAACACACAAACACACAGTTTTTTTTTTTTTTCGTTTCTTCTTTTTTCTCGTTTCCTTCTATTCTTTGGTCGACCAACTTTTTATTCTTAAATATTGCTTTGTCTTTCTCTTGTTTGCTTTATACCCTAACATTAAAAGAATCATGAATTATATATTGAACATAAACATGCATCGAAGTATTTACAATTATTTACAATAAATAATTAGTTAAAATATACACTTAGAATAATTAGGTAAAAGTATACCCATATGAACAGTCTCCTAAAATGTTAACATGTGAAATCAAATCTCAGAAACAAACGCCGAGGGAATACACAATTACGCAGACATTAAAAATCTCCTAAGATGATTACATGTACAAGCAAATCCTAACAAAATTGAGATTACTATTTTGAGTTTTTTCATTGATATAAATGAATTTACCACAATAACAGAATCCAAACAAACCTCTAGATCAAAGGGACAACTTTCGTTTTGGGGTTACAATATTACATTCTTTCATTTCATGTTTTGTTTCTTTCTTCTTCTTTCTTCTTCTTTTCTTTTCTTTTCTTTTCTTTCTGGTTATTTCGTGTGGTCCTTGGAGCCCTATAGGTCCAAGTACGTTGTTGTAACTCCGTCTGCTGCAACCTTCCTCTTTGGATACAGGTAACTGAAAGCAGTTTTTACCTGTGTATACGTATGCATCCCGTCCTCCCTCATCCGGAAACCGCGGTTGACACATTCCCCGGCTTGCTGCATCTCCAAGGTCTCCAAGTACCGGCGTTTGGTGATGTTGTTCGTGTTCTTGTTGATGCCCTTGCAAGCTACTTTGTCCTGGGCCCCAAAGCAGTAATATGATTTACTGCAGAGGGCGACGATACCATCACCCTCCCACTCGATCTTGAAAAGTCCAGGTTTGCGTAAACTTGTCAAACGCACGGTGGGCGGGGGTGTCGTTTCTCGGGAACCACGATGACTTTTCTCACTGGTATTGGTTTCGCAGCTCAGGCTTGATGATGTCGTCCAGGCTCTGCGCAGAGATGGCCAGGTAGGCGGAGTCAGTGTCCATTTCGCAGAGCTGGAAATCTGAGGGATGGATGAACCGGAGCAAGAAATCATAGTAAAACTGCAACATGCGCAGTTTTGCGTACTGGTATACAAAAAAGCCAATTTGCAGAGGAAGGTTAAGGCGGATGGCTTTTTTGTTCAGCTCCACCTCGTAAAGTTCCTCGTCCAGTGTATGTAGGGACCGGAAGTGTGGATGGTTGATGAGGCGTGACGCCGCTTCGCTGCTATGAGCGATTCGAACCTGCAGGTGCTTTTCTTGATTCGTCACCGTCTTACCGTAGGCCGAATTCCCCAGTAGTTTCATCGTGTCAGCGATGATGGCTTTCGACGGGTCGACGTCGCCGTCTCTCCTGGCAATACTTACGGCCTCTCCAAAGGGTTGGAAGCACGCTACCGGTCTGTATTGTATAAACTGGTAGATGTGTGTGACGATAAGACCATGCTGTAGGTACCACTGCAACAGGGGAGTGGCCAACAGAATATGGCTCCCGAACATACTTCCGATGAGGCTACGGCGGGACGACTTCATCAAACCCTCCCTCTCAGCATACTGCCGCATGTGGTCCCCCATATCGTCGCGGCTAATATCCACATTCTTGAAAATGGGCGGCATTTCCGCGAAAGTTTCGTGAAGTTGGGCAGGCACTTCGAGGTCGCATTCAACCAGACCAAAGAGCTCTCCGTTGGCCACCGCATCCAGGATGCTCCGCTGATTTAGCGTTCTGTGTTGATGCGGCAGTCGTCTCGACTTCACAAATTCAGCTGCATTGTGATCTGCCAACTGTAAGCGAGCCCAGTCACACTCCCACATTTCGACCAGATTGTGACCCGCATCCCGGATGTAGACGGACATCTCCTCGGTCTGGCGCCTCAGTTCATCGCGTGGCAGGTTCTTGACAGTGTTAAAGGCATGGGGGTTTAAGTGGCATTTGTGCCCATGCCAAAAACAACCATGAAATTGATATACCGTATTGTTCTCCTTGCAGAAACCGTCCACGGGAATTCCCCTCGACCCCACATGCTTTTCACCGCGGTTGAGTTGGTGACGAATGAAGATCCCCTCGGTGTGCGCCAACCATTCCAGCCATTCCGACGCCTTCACTCCCCACTTGTAACTCATCACTGGTTTGAAGTTGTCCTCCTCTCGCCGTCAGATGAATGGCCCGACCGGCAGCTGCTGCATCAAGGACCATAAATATAATGCGTTGGCATCAAACCCGACGATGTTCGTACACTCTTTTGGTCCCCCTCGTATCTGCGTCTTGTCTTTCTTGTGATATCGGTGGAAGACGATGGATGGCCCGCCTACAATATTCTTTTTCAAGAGATAATACAAATCCTGGTTGGCTTTGTCGATGAGGGCAAAAGAGACGTTCTCCGTTAGTGTCAAAAACAGATACTGTAACGACAGTCCGGGTACGGAAATTGCAGACTTGAACATATCCATCGCGCGGTGTTTGTAGAACTCGGCCATTTTCTGGATGGCATCCAGAAACGGGAGGACGTCCAAGTTGTTATACCACGGTAAAAAGTCACCGAGCGTGGACATCTCTTCCTCCCGCCAAACTCGCTGACAGTAACGGTAGTCCTCCTCGGAGATGTTTCGCCCCTTCAGGTTGCTGAAAAAGGCAGCGTGGGGCGGCAGGGCAGGTTCATTCAACTTGTTGAGGTCCGTCATGTACTCATACGGAAAGAACCCTTTATTGTTGGCACAATCATAGGCCTTGAGGAACTTTTCGTAGGAGTACCCGGGTGCCAGATAGTGAGATATGTCAAGGAACTTCAACTTCTTCGTTTTCAGGGCCATGTAAGAACTCCCTCGTTTGATCACCATCTCCACCGGGTCGTCATTCTCCTGTAGTTTTTGGTACAAGTGTTTCTTGATGACGTTCAGGTCGTACTTGCTGGAGTTGAAGCCGATCACGGGAAGTTCCTCGAGGTAGAGCTCCAATTCATCCCGTAGTTTTTCACCCGGTGTTTTCTTGGTAGGTAAGTCATCTTGTCCCTGCTGCTGATCACCCACTTGGTTTTCTTGACGCTCGATCAGTTCTTGGAGACGACTGAACACGTCCTCAAACTCCTCAGTCAGGTTATTGAATGCCGCCTCGCTAATCTCATGCAGATAGTTTACCATGCGCCCCACCAGCTCAGCAGGATCACCGTCGGAAACAAAACATCTCGCAGAGTCAAAGTTCGGGACGTTGCTTGCGACACTGACACTCAGCAACTCGTGGCGAGCACACCATGTCAGTTTCCCCTGCTGACCGCCATTTTGATCTATAGTGTCAAAGTAACATTCGTAATCGTACTGGCTCGGTACGGGTAGTATTTCAACTTCTCCTCGACTGTAATGCCAGCTTCCTCCAACTTGTCAAAAATTGTCTCTGGCAAAGAGTACATGCCGCCGGGAAATCGATGCTTGACATTTACGTTGCAGGTGGGTATATGGCGCTGAAGGTTTGAGGATCTGTTGAAAACCATTTTACATTTCTGGCATTCGTACGTTTGACTGTATTTTTTCAAGTCAAAAATGTACGAAAAATGGTCTTCAAACAGATTGAGGTAGAGCGTTGAGGGGAAACGTCGATGAGAACGATGGATTAGGTGGACCCGTGTCTGCAGTCTTTCGTCACCATCCTCGCCCTGCGTCAGGCTGTAAACCTGAATTGTGATCTCGAAGATTCGCTCTGCCTCACTTATTCTTCTAGAGTCACTCCTCTGCTGACATCCTTCCCTGTAGAGCGCTGGAAAGTTTCAGCCAATTCCTGTGTTGCTCTTTCCAAACCCGTAAGCGCCGCCCCTCGGTGAAGCGCCAGACATCGAAAAAAGCAGAGGTTGTCGTTGTACCTCTGCCAAGTGTTGTGATTGTGGGTGACGCTGTTGACGCCTCTATTGTTCTTCACAAAGTCTGGTAGGTTATGAGGTGGATTTCCGATGAAAAATTGCGGCATTTTATTGACGTACACCGCAATATTGGTCAGCGACACCACCGACCATTTGGTGTCTGGCCGTTGTTGTCGAACATGTTCTAGCGCATCCATCGCCTCAAGCTCGCGGATTAAATTATCCATGTCATCTTGACAGCTGATGGTAAACGGTGTGGGGAATAGTCTTGCATTGTTATGGGACGGGCGGAAGTATAGCAGCTCACCAGTTTCGTTATTCCGCAAAATAAAACCGCACAAAATGTTTACTTTTCCCCGACATGTTAGTTGCTTGAAAATGGAGTCCATGATTCTCTCAAAAGAAGCTCCGGGGCGGTCCATCCGTACATTGTAGATGTCCTGCACTACACGTCCGGTCAGGTGATGGGTTCGTATGGCCGCCCAGTTGTCGCTGTATACTCTGGCTATCTCGTCACCATCTGCATCCATTTCCGCAGGGAACTCCTCGGGGTCTTCTTGAAGGGGGTCTGGAGCGTGACGAATAAACAAACGAACATTGGTGACGGTCACCAGTGACCAGTCTTGCAGATGTTGACAAACAAAGTCGACAACGTTGGAGTGGTCAAACTGCTCGAACAAATGATTGTTAACAGTTACTGGTTCAGGGAAGTATCTGGCGGTGGCGGCATCAAAGAAACGGAGCTCACCCGTCTCATTATGGTGAACAATAGCTCCAAATGATACGTTGATTAACTCCCCGTTGGTCAGGTTGTTGAGAATTTTCTGACCAATGTTTTTGTAGTCGT